AAAACAGAGAGTGGATACCTTTCTGCTGATAGTAAGACGTATGTGGAGATGAGATAGGTATGCGTGGAGATGTTGGACGGGGAGGTGATGAAAGTGTTCCGCTTTGATAAGCACTACGCAAATTTTGTGATCCAGAAATGGGAGGCAGAGGCGGAGGTAATTCTGGAGCCATCGAACCATCGTAACCCTAAAGGTAGTTAATACTAAGAAAGACTGCTATCATCAATATTTCAAGGACGCACAGTAACGGGCATGGTGCCAACGCGATTAGCAGTACGGACTGAAGTTCGGGTAGCTTGGAAGTCGGGACCTCGCGGTGGAATGACCGAACTGTCGGAAATGTCATGTTGTGATGGTGTATTCGTTCCGGCAAAGCTAGTACTGCTACTGCTACTCAAAGATGACCGAGTTCTTCCCTAAAATCAATAAAACTTATCGGTTCTAGAAGCAGTAAAAAGGTAGGTAAGCTTACCGATCCTTTGGGTCTCCCTCTTCCCCTTGGAATGGAGGATGCGCCTGGCTCATTTTCTTCGCCACCGCTGAAGACAGCCTCGTTTGTTGACCGACGACGCGTTGGAGGAGGAGCTTCAGCTCGTTTCCGCTCTTTCGCTTGGGCTTCGGTCTCCATCCGCTTTTGCTCCAACTCCTACAATACACAACCGAATGTTTCCTTCAAACTGATGCGATATAATATACCTGAGCAATTTCGCGGCTGATCGCTTCAATTTTCGCTTTGATATCTTCCTCAGAAATATCGTTGTTAGTCCATTGTGGATGCGCAACATCCACCTGAGCCGAAAGCGATGTTGCAGCGGCTATTACTTCGGGAGGCAAAGTGGGAGTCGATTGCTGTTTATTCGTTGTTGTCTCAGGAACAGGGTGTTGGCCAGAATCTCCATCTTCCACAAAGTTTTCAGGCAGTGGTGGCGTTTCGACGGCGGTAGTTGGCACATTTCGCTAAATAATAAGTCCTCATTTGATGCTCTGTAGTCAAATTTTAGCCCAGCAATAAGTGAAGAAGGGTCCTAGAAATCGTAAATAAGAGAATTACCATTGGTGGAGCGACTTCAGCTGGGTTTGCCACTCCAGCATGAGGTGTATTCGAGACACTAGCCGAGCGAAGTCGAGGTGAAGTCAATTTTGGAGGCGATCGAGGTGCACCGGACTGTGGAGTAGCACCAATATCCGGCTGAACAGGAAACGAGGTAGCCTGTACTGGCTGCGCAGGAGGATAAGGTGAGGTTGCTTCGGTTGGACGGGGACCAACCACCACTCCATCCGAAAAGTGAACCTAAATTCACAAAATGAGAACTTTTGCCTACACCTAAAAGTGAAACAAAAAGAATGCGAATTCATCCATTTTACCCTGTATGAAAATCATTTAAAATCGCTATCACACGAGCATGCGCAGGGGAAGTCATGATTTGAGAGAAACCAGCTGTTATAGCTATTTCTGAAGCGTTTTACAAAAATACCTAGCATACACTGTCTTAAAATGCTAAAATTGAGATGTGTGCAGTCGCAATCATATCCGCGCGCAGCTCCGTGCAAAACCGTTTTCCCCTCCCCCTTTAAAGGCAATGGACAGGCAAAATGGACACCTGTCGATTTTGGTGGAGTTAGGAAGTAGACCCCCAAGTACACCG